TTAGTCAATTTCTTAAGGCTTAGGGCTTAAATCTCTATTGTAGACTGGGGCTTAGGCTGGGTCTACATAGGATGTAGTAAGTTATGTCGGAAGAATAATCGACAGCGATTGGTCAATTCCGTCAGATACATAAGAATTGACCAATCACAGTCGACTATTCTTACGACTACGACTTTACGACTTCTATGTAGACGAGGCTTTATGGTACAGCGACCTAACCTAATATCGGTCAGGCCGGTTAAGCGTATTTGTAATATCAATTTGTAATGTCCAGCGGGGTATAATTTTATTTAATTCACGTTGAAGCGTTCTAAAAATCCTGTAAAAAAAATATTTACCTAATGGCGAGATTTAATAATCGAACGGGATAAGGACGAAATGTAATCTCTTTATTTCGTTGCGTATCCGCTAAGTTTTGTGTACATTTGTTGTGAGTTGTAAGGTAACTGTTCAGTGTCACCTAATTTAATTCACTGTTTAACTGTACTGTTTGGATTGAAACATTATTTTATGATTAGAGTTCTTTATGTATTTCCTATTCCGAAGTAGTTTCTGTAATTTGAGAGAGAAACCAGCGCCCTGATAACAGCACTCTAAAAAGAATACCATAATGGAAAACTAAGAAACGATATTGAGAAACAGACAGACAGGGATGTCTGGATATTTCTGTAATTATAAAACAAGTATAGAAATGTCCAGAAAATCTATGTAATATAACAGATACAATTTGATGAATATCTGAAACGGTCGTGTATCCCTTGATGATTGTTTATCCCAAGTTTTTACACTTGACACTTGTTACAGAATTGCCTGCGAGTTACAAAAAAATGGCTTACATCCTGAGCAGAAGTCCCGTTTTGTGCCGATCCGCTTTTCGCAAGAATGTAATCTGTGGCCCGGTCAATAAAATCATACTTGCGAAAAGTATGGTAAATCTTCCCAACAGGACGAATGTCTGGGCAGAGAAGAAATTCAAACTTCAGGACAACATAAGTAACGCTTATCGGCTTGTATACAGGGAAGAAAGTGTTATCAATGGTACATGTTTTGCAGCGTATCACATTGGGTATATAGGTCTTGCTCTTAGTACGTTTTTCCTGGGATATCTAATCCTCGTGAAACCGCCGTTACCGGAGAATAGACTAATGGAGGATGCATTAGATGAAGGAGTGGTAAAGCCTTTGACGAACGTGGGAAGGGTAGTCACCTTGTTTATTAGTTTCGTCGTATCCGTCGTACTGATCGTAAGCAGCAGAGCATTCCCGTTTAGAATTTATCACAACCCTGCGGAGAAAATGTACAAGGCCGTGTTTGTCAGTAGAATATTCGGCAAGAAACAAATAGAAACGTTTGGCGACGGTACTGTCGTGTCTGTATTTGATAGCCGTAGATCTCTGGGAGATATATTATTTTATATTAATCGCCGTCTTGTTATACTTGACGCAGAATGTTTTCCGGCGCCGTACGTACGTGAGCAAATGATTCGCAAAACCGAATCGAACTGAACGTTGGTATATTTATGTATCATTGCTATCATTTATCGTACAGACACTTGTATCATATTGCTCATTTCATTCATTAGATGTAGTCAGCAAGACTATATATTTTTCGCAAAATAACACATTAAATTTGTATATTGTAAATATATATACTATACAGTAGATATGTTCTATTTATTTAATTTCCTTACATTTTATAATGTAGATTGTTATATAGTAAAATTTTTTTTTACAGAGTATATGTAATATAAAAGTGCTTGGAAGAGAAATTTATGTATCGTTGGATACATACAAAGTAAATAATATAGTTCATGTTTGCTGTTCAAGATATATAATAATATAAAAGATGAATATGTCATCGAGAGTAACACAAGATTTAAAAAATTCTGATATATCCCAATAAAAAAAGGTTATATTTATATGTACATTTATTTCTTAACACTATTTTACTTTTTACACTTATTATTTCTTAACTTAACAAGCAATATTAGATACAAAAGTAATCATGTCGCAGTTCAATGCTCAAGTTATAGTCTTATATTTTCGTCGAGAACAGGATCTTTAAATTGCTCCAATTTCTTTTTACACTCCAAACACTGATATGTTTTTAATAAAATGTAATTGATTTTATTAAATATGTAATATCAATAAAAAGAAATTTGTCTTAAATAAACGTTTCACAAAAAGTTGTTTCCCAAATTGCCTTGTGTAATGCAAATTTTATTGTATGCTTTATACAACACACACACACACACACAAGCTTGAATTTCTTATTCAACTTAAATTTGTACGCAGGTGCTCCTTTAGGATAATGCAATGAGAGTATGTAGGATATTACCGATATAAAAATATAATATCTTTTTCCTAGTATTCCTTCTCCACATGCGATTGCTTCTCAATCGATATACTTGCATACCTGTTCATACGCAAGTTTCTTCACAATCTTCTTGTCGTTTTCCAGTTCAACGTCTATGCTGTAGTGCTCTATGTGCAACTCCTTCACTGTTGCTCGCATGCCTTTATGCTTTCCCCAGAGAATCAGGACTTTTTTACCTATTGCGGGAATTACTGTCTCCAAATATTCTTGATCCAGTCGTACAATATGTCCGTTAACTTCTTCCGGTGTCTTCAGTTTCACTTTACCGACAAAATTGTCTTTTTCAACCGCTTGAACAAGTCCTTTAGCTTTGAAATATTTGTTACCCAGACTCGTCGTGGTTACTTTAACCATTAAACCTTCCCTAAGCCAGCCTTCAACCGCTGGCAAACTATCGCCGGCTTTTAATTTCTTGACAGACTTTGTCTCATCATTATCATTGGATCTCTTGGGTTTTTCATCTTTTTCACCGATTGATTTACTGGAGCTATCTTCACTTTTTATCTTCTCCCGCTTGATTTCAAGTACAGGAAGCAACTTTGGTTTTGGCTTCAGCTTTATATCAAGGACTAAAGGTGTATCATTTTCGGGACGCATCAGTGGTGTCTTAGATGTCTCGCCCTCCTCTTCCTTCGTATCCTGCTTTGCTTTTTCTATTTGCTTATCAATAAAATCCATCAGTCGCTCCTCATCGTCCTTGTCCATTTTCTCCTTCTTCGCCTTTTTCTCTTGTGCAGCAAGTGTCTCGGGATCTCTATCGATATACGTTATAAACCAGCCTGAAATAATTTAACACAGGTACTTAAAAAAATCTAAAATCTTATCAACAGAAAAATCTTTAATCTTCAATAATAAATTACGATACGTAACAATTTTTATGTACAAACCTTTTTCAGTTTCGTCGACGACGCACTGTCCAGTACGCCCGAGCCATTTTACAAAAGCTGTCAAAGTAAGCCACTGAGTCGCATTCATGTGTATGTGTCCTCTATCGGAAATGTACTCCTGGTAAACACGATTCGCCGGCACTCGTCTGGTGCCAAATTGTCTCTTCAATAGATTCAGATACCCCTGTGAAAATTCCCGTGAGAATTGATCCATGTACCGATGCGAATTTTCAGCAAACAGTAACAGCTGACGATGATGCGACTCCGACATTGTGTGGCACTTGAATCCATTCTCGTCCCGACATTGCTTCTGGCACATTTGACAATACCACCTTAACTTCTGCAATCCCTTCGCCTTGATTTTATTAGCGATGTATTTTGGCGTGCCTACTTCGTGCTTTCCCATGCTTATTTACGTTCTTATTCTTGTTAACTGGAGGCCTACAAACAGGATTGCAGATCGAATAATTACGAAAACGGTAAATATCATTTACAGGTTAGTAGTGAAAATAATGAAAAACTCCAACATTCTTATCACTCTTTTGTAACATATTACACTTACGAACTCTTTTTGTAAATTTCTTCTAAGTGCCCGGAACACTTTCTTAATAAACATGAAAGTTTTCTCGGAGGGACCGTCAACTATATTCTTAAAAATGCATACGTACGTAGCGCATACATACGAGAGAGATGAACTCTATAAACTAGTGCAGCCAATTCAGTGGCAAAAACAGACCTAAGGCTGGTATTACATTTGTCGTACGACAAAGTTTTTAAGCGTATTGATTGGCTGAAGGATAGTACAATTCTCGAGTATCTAGAAACTTTCTATTCAGCGGCCAATCGACACGCTTGAAAAATTTGTCGTACGACAAATGTAAAGCCTCCGCTACAATGATTCTCGG